TAATAAATTGTATTATTAAATAGTACAGTATCTTGCGGTACAACACCTACAATTATTTGTTAGTTTTTATTAAATCTACATAATAATATTGTATTATTAATTACCAATTGCTTTACGTAATGTTTCTTGTTGCACTAATTTTATATTTTGATCATCTATAGATATAGCACCTCCTTGCACATCATAGAAACGGAAAAGCAGTCTTACGATTGTACTTTTACCTGCACCTGAAGGACCAACAATAGCGATAGTCTTTCCTGGCGGTACCTTAAAACTAACATTACGAAGAACTACTTTTTCAGGTGAATAACCGAATGTAACATTTGAAAACTCTATGCCACCACCAGCAGTGAGTAAAGGCGCAGCACCTGGTGCATCAATAATTTCTTCTTCTTCCTTAAGGAGATCAAACATATTCTCCATATCAACAAAGTTCTTTTGTATAGCGCGATAATAAGTTCCAAACCAATTCAATGGCATGTAGAGATCCATTAAATATGTAAAAAACAGTACGAAATCGCCGACAGTAAGTGTCTGGTGATGAACCACAAGATAAACACAAAGCATGGAGCCACAAAGTAAACCGATACATAATATTATATTTTGTGATGTGTTTAACAAATTAAGCGTAAGTAAAGTCAAGAATTCTTCTTTCTAATAATATAAAGAAAATGGTAAATTTTAAAGTTCATAATAAAATAATTTATTACTACATACCTGATATTTTAAAATAGATTCCCGATAAGCGTCTACTTCATATTTTTCTCCTCCATAATATTTTACGGTTTCGAAATTTAGTAAAGAGTCCACACTACGGGTACGTTGCTCATTATCTGCTAGATTCATACGACGTTGGTATTTGGTACGCCATTCAGTTACCATTATAGTAGCCACTACATTAATTGGAAGTTATATATGTATTAAATTTAAATACAAACATTTATAAGTGCACTTACATATATAAAGGAACATGGTAGCGAAAACAATAAGTCCAAACCACCAGTTGAAGGCATAAATAAAGAAAACTACAGCAACAATCAAATCAACAATTGTTGGTGTTATAGAAAATATTATATAATTTAAGAGATTATTAATTGAGTCAGTGCCACGATCCATAACACGCAGAACCTCGCCTGTTTTTCTTTGCAGATGCCAACGTAATGACAGTTGATGTAAATGTCTAAACAGATCTACTTCGATTTCTCTGGTGGTATATTGTTGAACGCGTATCCATAAAAATGAGCGCAGATTATTGAAGACACCCATTGTACCGGTGCCACCGCCTTGTACGAATGAGAGTGCAACATATATCAAAACGAAATCCCAACGAAATACTATTGGTTCTATAGTTAAACTGTCAACTAGAAAAGGCAGATGTATACATGTACTTTGAAAAAAGTATATCTATATGTCTTACCTAATTTTTTACGATAAATGGGTAAGAAAAGTTTAATAACGCGTCCAGCTAACAATAATATTATACAAATCAGCACAGTAATTTGTAAAACCATATCTTTCTTAGGCCAAAGATAAGGAAAGAGTTTGCGTAGTTTTTTATAAGCATTTTTAAATGCTGAGCCTCTGTTCGTATTGTCGTTGTTTTGTTCTGGATCCTCATTTAAACGTTGATGAGGATTAGTGGGGTACATAATACCAGGAGCTTTTAGGCCTAATACAAATATGAGCAGAGACATTAGGTACCGTGCCACAAAGAAACCCATTTCAATTTCATCTTTATTACTACAGCGCGAAAAAATAAATAATTATATTATGTGTTAAATTATATTAAAAAAATAAACTAACGTTTTTAAATTGAACCACCAATCCTCATGTCGTAAATTAATTAATGATAAAGATTCATTAATTAAGGCTAAGGTCCAAAATAATAACAATATTAAGCCATGTCCTCGTGTTGGTAAGGAAGGTAATTGATAATTACGCTCCTTTATAATGAGACATATGGAAAATGGATATGCGAAACAAATAAGCGCTGTAGAAAGTATCTGTAAGTGTTAGACGGTTTAATTACTTATGTATGATGAACGTGTTACTTTATAAATTACCATATATCCATAAACCGCGCTATCGGAATATATTTGTGCATTTAATAAAAATCTTATTATGGTCAATATTGGAAATAGGCCCAGTAAAAATAATTGTAATGCATATAGACGTGATTTCGATATTAGTGTTGGATCCGTTATGCGGGTAGCATATTTTCGGTACATCATTAGTTGTATAAAACCAAATATGAGTATGAATCCAGCATACACTGAGGTACCCACTGTATCCATAAAACAGTGAGATATGCCATGATTAACCCAAATTTGGGAAAACGTTACATTGGGCGGACAATAAAGCATTGTTTATAAACTGAAAATTTTACTGATATAAAAATAAATTTCTATTAGTTTTTTTTTACCTTTCTTTTTGTATCTTATTAAATACTTAATTATACACGATTATATGCAATTAATTTTAAAACTTTTACAATTAATATAATTTACACATTTATCTCTTTTAATATATAATATTTTTATTTATAATTTTTTTAAAGAGGTTTCGAATAGTAGTAAACTACAACAATTTCTTTGTAATTTCTTTTTTTTTAAAATTTTATTAATTCATTTTATATATAATAATTTATGTTGTTATATTTTATTTATAAAAGTTTTATTTTATTTCAATTTGAACAAAATAGTTACTCACTACAGTTTTTTAATTACTTCTCAATGTGTTTAATTATTTATGTTATTATATATTATTGTTAATTTTTTTTTAAAGCACACATTTTATTTTATTGTATTTTATGTGTAATTATATATAAAATTTTTTATAATTCTTTTTTATTTGTAATTATTAGATTTAAATAAATTTTTTAAATTACATTATTTTTAAGAGCATATATGCTACGTTCAATATCAGAAGACAGCGTGGCTTAGTAATTTGTTCTAAAAATTAAAGTATAATTTATGATTATTAATGCTAAAAACCTTGTCGGGTGCAGAGAAGTTTTGCACTCAGTTTTGCGCGCGTCGTTTTAGTGCTTCAGAATATGTAGCACATTTCTATAATTTCTTATTCTACCATATCTTCACTACAAAGTCAATAGTAAAAATATTTATTTACATTACAATTTTATCATAATGTGAACGCTACAATTTTAAACAACTATATAGATTTGTTAATAGTTAAGACTCTGTCATATGAGAAGAAGAAAACATGAGAACATGTTCTATGCAACTGCCGAGCGGCTGCAAAACGTAGACTTGACTACCTTGAAAGCTGGATCTTAGTCCCAAATCAAAAAGGGAAAATTAAGCCCACAATAATTAAGAGATTTATAAATAGTCTAGAACTGTTTTCGTTGAATATTTAGGCGCACAAAAGATCTTTTAGGTTGGGTTGCATTCATAGCCTATTATTTAATAATAATAAAATTAATATAAAATGAATTGGAATGGAATAAACATTAAAAAAATGGCTTTAAGTTTATACATATATAAAAGGATGAAATAAGAATATATAAGAACAAAAAATATAATAATATAAAGATTTAATTTATGTATATAACTTAGGTTTGATTGGAGTGGTAGACATCTACATGAAAGCTAACTTCAGCACAAATGATCGCACGAATGAGGTGGTTATATACAACACACAATTTTTTGCTATCTCTCAAAAGTTATTCTGAAGTAATAACTTACTTTTAAATTAATTTTATTATAATATATTTACGACTACAGAAGCAATTCAGAGGTATCTAGATTAATCTGTCATATCTGTCTTTACAGTGCGCTGGACCATAGGACGGCATGGAGCTAGACTTGGCCAACCCTGTGGTATCTCCTGCAATGCGTGTCTACCAGCTCCCAAAGAAAGGTCACCAGAACACCTGATGTGTCTATGTTCAGGTTTCTGGGGGCCCTCTTCTTCAACACACTCGGCGATATCTCAAAACGGCTTTTTTAGCTAATTGAGGAGGACATTCCTCTCTCCACCACAACTAACTAACTATATATACAGCTAATGAATTTCAAATATAATATTATGTAAAATACTCTAAATGAAGAGTCAGCATTAAGAGTTTCAAATAAAAATCAATTGAAATCGATATTATATATTGGATACAATTTGTTATTAAATTATAATTTTAACATTAATATATTGAATTTAGTAGAATTTAATTTTAAATTATCATTAATATTATATTAAAAAATTGGAATAAGGCATTATGTGATTAAGTGATTGCTCAAAAGATCACTTAATCAAACTATTTTTCAGTTCGTTTTCAATCTATTTGCTTGAAGTTTATGGAACCATATTTAAATTTTATCACGCTAGTTATTTATTACATTCGATGAGAATCCTTTAGGAATCTGCAATAAAATACGTTTTGTTCTTATCTTTTTAATTTTTCATATGAAGAGTTGAGTTTACTCTCCAAGTTTTCACTTCAGCTTTATTTTCGTTTTAATGCTTCTTGTGGTACGTCCACTTAATGACGTACACCGTTAACCAAAAACAAAAAGTAAACAGATTAGTCCAGTATTATAGCTTTTCCAATGAAAAATGATTTTTTTTAGCATTCCAAATGAAAAAAGTTAATACTGAATACTTTTCATTTAATGATTTGTTTTTTTTTTGATTGCAAGAAAAATAACTAAGCAAACATTCCAATATGCATTATCAGTAGTAAAATTATAAGGAAATGACACAATCACAACCACAACTGTAATTTTCACTGTAATCATCTTACCATACAAACGAACTTTTGAGTAAACACTTTGATTATCGATGTCTTACATTTAACAGAATAGTTTTAAGTCTTATTTTTAATGTGCACGTTGAGAAGCACTGTTTTGAAATCCTTTACTCCACCCACTGCGAAAGCCATACATTCAATTCGTAAACATAATTATTAAGCAATAAAGTGAACATTAATTTCTCTTAAAAAGGATTATATTAGCCACATAAGATTCTTTAAGCATTTATAATTTTATATCAATCAGCCTTATTTTGCGAATTTTGTTTATATGATTTACACAATTACTTTAATATCTCTGAAAAAATACAATATTACTGGTTTATATTTGAATTTAACGGACAGATGAAAAGATGATGAAGATCGATATTAGGTCTGCTCCACGAGCTACTCGTATTAACTTTGAGTAACACTGTGTATACACAAATGCGTTCCACCAGCAAATATGAACATCTGAGAGAGCGTAACATCCCTGTTGAAATTTGAAAATGTTGCACAGACTTTACCCGTACATTTTATTTTAAGTAAAATTTATGTGGATATGTGAATCAGCTGTTTTGGTTTGAATTTAAATTTTTGTGTTGTTTATTTACGCGGCACTAGTGTTCTCAACAGATTTTATACAAAACTGTGCCATGAAAATCTGTGTAAAGAACTTAATTTGGCACTTTATTTGTTATACGCTCTCAGTTTGTACTTTACTTGTGTTTTAGTTGAGTTTACCTACGAGTAGATCGTATAACATACATATCTATTATAAATTGATTGCTTGTATATTTTTATCAAATTTGTTAGTTAATTATTGCCGCATATTTTATACAATCCCTATACATAATCGTAAATTATTTTAATTTTAATTTTAATTTGAAATTAAAAATTTTTAAAAAAAAAAACTTTATAAATCGCCACGCTATATTGGGCGATTTATTTAAGCTCTATGTTATATTGGACTTTCAAAATATATATTATATTCCTTTTTCTTTTTATTAGCAAGTTTCTTTTCACATTCTTATATTAATTTATTTATTTTTTAGATTTGTTAGCTAAAGTACATTTTTACATAGATTATTATAGTATTATCACATGAAAACTGTATATACAAAATAAATATATTGAATTAAATTTTCTAATTACTCCTTTGATTTATTAACCATTTAATATATCACATTTACGATAAGTTCTAAATTCCTCTATTGATTTTGAACAATTTTATATATCACATATATAATAAGCACTATATGTTTACATATAAAATTGTACATGCATATTTCAGTCTGGTAGACCGACCGACTAAATATGTCTCTAGTTTTAAATTATCATAATGAATTAATTGATAAAATAAGCAAAGTACATTTTTATTGATTCGGTGTGTTGTGTGACATATAAATTGACAATTCGGTATGACGTAAAAATTACATACCATATAAGTTAAACCATGCGTATTTGATTACTATAAGGTGAAGCACTTAATTCCAATATATACAAATATATTTGGAAATTGTATTTTTAGAGATAAAAACTTTTGCTATGTTTATACAATATACGGATATTTTAATAATTTAATGTGATGATTGGCATTATTCGTATACTTTTTTAAATAAATAAACTTAAAATTTAAATAATTGTTATAGTTACTAAAAAATTTGATATAATATTAGCAACAATTTTTAATTCGATTTAATTTTTTAATTTAAAAAATTCACTAAATAGTAATTTTATAAAATTGAAATTATTTATAATTGTATTATTAATCTAACATTTGTTTTTTTGTGGAAATTATTCAAAATAATTAATATATTTTTTTTCAAAATAATTAATAGAAGTTTATATGTTGAAAAACAAATGAGTTTTTTTTTGCTTATAATCAGAAGCAAAGTGCGAGTCTACAAGAAACATTTAAGACTGATCCTAACATATGGAATTAAGATAAGCGTAGACAAGCAAGTAACAGAATGTTAAATATTCTATGTATAAATTCAGATGTATACTAAGTATTGGGTTAAGGTATCCCCGAATAGACCTATAACAAAGTTATAGGAAACAACTGTTAAATGATGATACTGTGAAATAGAGGTGTACTGTAGGCAAATAATGAACACAATATGCAAATCGATGTGGAAAATCAATATTGGGAGCTGCTGTGGAACACTACAAAAACGACAGAAAGATAGTGTATTTTTTATATATAAATAAATTTTATAAATTAAGGCTTATATGTGTTTATTTTAGAATTGATGCTATTTAATTATAAGATACCAAATATAATTTCCATTTTTACTTGATGGAAATATTATTATTGATTCGTAGTCTAAAAAAAGTTAAGCTTGTATTACAGGAAGATTGTGAAAATAGGTTTAGAGAAACGGGATATCTAAATCGTTAGAGCTCCCACATGCAATAATCAAAAAAAAAAAACAATTTCTCTGCTACTTTTTGAAATTCATTTCTGCAGAACATGAGTGTGACTTTTGTCGATACTACAAAGGATTGCTGATAGTAGTAAAAGCAGGGTTTCAAAATAGGAATAGAAATTTGTTTTGATTAAGTTAAATAAATATATATAAAACTGTTCGGTTAAGACAAAAGTGTAAGGCTAAGTTTCTAGTAATTATTTCTTATGTATTAGTATTATAAATTAGTTTTTTGTCATAACTACAAATTTATTCAATAAAGAAAACATTTAGGTTTATAAATAACAACCATTCTTTAACTTTTATCTTGCATTCATTAAAGTTTTAACAGCAGAAGGAAGATGTGTGTTAATGAGTACTTACAGAACTGTACAGTGCTGAACCGATATAAACCATATATTGTTTTTGGAGCGGTTTCGATGTTAACTCTGGTAAAAAATATGTTTTTTTTTCGCTTTACGGTTCAGTTACTGTTCAAAGCCAAGAGTAAAATTATTAAAATACTGGGAAGAAATCTTATCAATTTTACGTCCAAAGTGGGCTTTAACTGAAGTGTGTTAAAGAGCATTTTTAACGATATTTATAAATCTTCCAAATCAAATTTGAAATGACTTACCCATATTACTGATATTAAAACTTTAATTTCATAAGTTTATTTAATACACAAATCCAACATTAGAAAATAAAAAAAAAGGTTTGGTAACAACAAATCTCATTCAGAGTAAAACGATAACAAGCGACATAAAAAAACTACCAGTTACATATAATATTTAATTGCGATAAAAGTTTATATATATGCGCATTGTTCATACACCCATATAGATAAATAATTACTTGGTAGGGAGATTAAATAAAATTAAATAAGTTTAAATTAAATAGTTAAAAATAGTTTATGTATTATTAAATGTAAATTTTCACAAGTAGTATATACATATGTACATTATAACAAATTATGCATTTTGACAGACCACTTACCGGTTTTTTCGTGTGTCGTATATAAATATGGATTCAAAAATATGTAATAAAATTAAATCTTGTCTACGTGCAATCATTAATCACAAAAAACGAAAACAAAAGTTTTAACAAATCATTTTGATGCTTTTTTCGTGTAAATAGACAATACATGTAAATTAAATCACGTTCAATAGTAAAATTATGCAATTTACGCACTACAAATGAAAAAGAAGAATTATGTTCGCAAATAATTTTATTTTCACAATTGAACAAATTCTTATATTTTCTAACACACACAAGACCGTATTAACTTTATTTTGTTGTTAGTTCTAGTGCAAAAAACTATTTGCCAAATATTTTATTTCGTCAATGAGTACAAACACCATTATTAACTTCCAGCTGATTTCTTACATTTATTGCACTATCACTCTCAACTTCTTCTTAAGTCAACCATTCACAATAGTTAAAAATAGTTTGTGATACAAAGAAATATTTGTGATAGTAATGGTTATACGGCGTTTACATTGGCCGAAAATGGCTCATTTTGAATGACTCATTTGAAAGTGTTTACATTCGTTGTATTTCATTCGTTCTCATGGTAACAATTCAAACTGAAATAAAACTACTAAACATTTGTTTATCTTTTTTTGTAAATATGTCAAAACAGCTTTTACAAACTGTCAAAATGCCATGAAGAGCTTTCATTTAGGGTATGTTCAATAGATTCCTTTGCATTTGGAACATATGTGGAATGCATTCGAACGTCATTCATACAGAATGTGAGAAAATTGCTCATTTTGTGCTTGAAATTTTATATGCAAGAATGAGCCATTCGATACTCATTTTCGATTTTTGACCAAAATGAGCCATTTTCGGCCAATGTAAACGCCGTATTACTTTCAATTGGTAACCATTGTATTCATGAAAATTGATATTTGTCAATTGTGAATTTATTTAAAATATATAGTGGAAGTACCTGAAAATTAAAGGCGACAAAAGAATTTATACAAAAATATATTTTTAATGTTCACATGTAATGATTTTATTAAACTTTCAATGTATTTCCTTCATTTTATTTAATCAGAGTTAATGAATGATTAGCGGTAGTAAGGGTGGGATTTAGAAAACATCGAATCATTTGAATTTTTTCTATGAACAGTTTTTTAGTTTAATTTATGAAGGTAATAGGTCTGTTCCACGAGCTACTCGTAGTCACTTTGAGTAACACTGTATATATAACAAAATATTGTTGCATTTACCATAAATCCCAATAAAATTTTATGTAGATGTAAAACGCGTCCTTTTTTATCTTTATTGTAATTATTGATATTTGTTTTAGTATGAATTATGATAAACGTAACGTATGATAAACAGATGGTTTTTGACTGCTACACAGCTCTGAATGAGATGTCGACGAAATTTAACACTTCTCTACCCCGGCAATTGTAATGCCGACGAACTGATCAAGCGGGGTTCTTCAAGTAATCATTTACAACATCTGGATGATATTAATATACCGGTAGCATCACGCACACAGTTGATGAAATTTATTGTGTTGAGCAATTTATTACAAGGTGGAAAGGCTTAACGATATGCAGGCGTCTGTATAAAAGTTGGTCACGTTCTGTTAAAAAAAAGTAACGCAATCTCATTCAGATACTATGTGAAGATATCAGTCTTATAGTAGGTTTATAGACGGCCACAGTCATCGTCTAGAAAACCATGCTAAAAGATTCAATCACCCGTTTAATCATTCCTGTCGCAATTGTGGGGAGGACGATAAAAGTGTCCTATATTTTGTTACTGTTCAAAGCTGCGCAGCTGTAGTTGATTTTGCTAGGGACTTACTGTTTCAACAATCTTGAAAAACTGCAGGACCTTCCTCTAAAGACTGTTTTAGGCTTTATTAAGCTCTCAAGGCGGCTTTTAAGCCTTGTAGTCCTTATGCAGAAACACAATAGACCAAAATGTCCTAATGGATTCTTAGGATCGTTAGAAAGGAAAGCAAGGAAAAGAAAAAAGAAAAATAAAAAACAAAATTAAGATAACAAAATGTGCTGTTTGAAAAGGTTTTTAGGAAATCGATCAGAAAGCGCAAAGTTACAATCAATATTACTATTACTTATGCCATTACTTGGCATAAGTTGATTATTGCTTGTAAATGATCTTTTACGTGTCAGAAAATTCTGTGAAAGTTCTAAATAAGTTTTTGTTTGTTTACATTTCCATTATAATCAGATGATATTCAGTTTTATAGCATAAATAAACTAATTTATTATGCGAATTCATCATAATAAATTAATTAATTAAAATCAAATAATTTTAAAAATTTTTATCCTTTGATTGTTTGACTTGTGTTTTTTTTATGTAATTTTCTTTGATTTATTCTTACAGTAAATTCACACTGTCTTAATTAGGGACTTGCTCATTTATATCAATGAGTGAACGTTCACATTATAATGAAATCATTTATGCAGCTGATAGAACTCTTACAAATATTATAAAATTTTTATAAATATTATAAAAGTTCTATTATAAAATTATTAATTATATATCACACAAAAACACTTAATATATAATTGATATATTAAATCATTAGAATACATTTTATATATGAATTACATATTCAATTAATAAAAACAAAGATTTTATTAAATACTTCCTCAGTGTTCTTGTTTGCAGTTCAGCTGTTTTTTTACATTCTACATATAAACCACATGATACATATATCAAATTTTGGTCATCTTCCTTGTGGAAAATGTATTTTTAAGGGTTGTATTCGATATTTTTCACCTTAAATGCGATGATTTTTGGATAATGAGCTCATTTATATGAAAACTCTTTGTATGGTAAATCAATCTTATAAGTGGTTATAAGGAAAGCTCTTCGTATGGTCAACCTAATTTCATTAGCGACCTGAAGCACATAAACTTGTCTAACGAAGGCAGTGGAAACATACTATTATATTCACCTCATTAAATAAAATTTAATGGTTTAAAAAAAATGCATTATATTCAAAAACACATTTTTATTCTCAATGAATAATTAATTTAAGTTTTCTATTCAAAACTATTATCTACTTAATATACATTAAGACCGAAAAGCTTTCGGAAATTCTCATTTAAAATTCGCGCGCTGTATATTTTCCGATATTTTAAGTTTATGTAGTTTGGCAGCACTGTCCTTAATTACTATGCCAAAAATGAGCGCGATCTGTCAGACAGTTCGTTTACGGCAGCTGTTGAAACCAGTTCACCTCAGTAGGGCGTTGCGAAAAAAACAATGGAAAAAAATATTGAACAAAGAGTTTGCATCAAATTTTGTGTTTCGAACGAAATTTCGTGTGCAGAATCGTTGCGAATGCTACAAAAGGCTTATGGGGAATCAGTTTTATCGAAAACTCAAGTTTATGAGTGGTACAAAGCCTTCCAGGACGGTCGTACGACCGTCGAAGACATTTCGCAACGCACTACTGAGGTGAACTGGTTTCAACAGCTGCCGTAAACGAACTGTCTGACAGATCGAGCTCATTTTTGGCATAGTAATTAAGGACAGTGCTGCCAAACTACATAAACTTAAAATATCGAAAAATATACAGCGCGCGAATTTTAAATGAGAATTTCCGAAAACTTTTCAGTCTTAATGTAAATATAGATTATATAAATTTATATTAATTTTTTTCTTAAAATCAGCAAATAAATTATGTATATAACAATTGATTTAAAATTTAGTTAGAAGTAATTTTTAGCTTATATTTAAAAAAATACATAGAACAGCCATAAAGAAGGAAATTTTGAGTTAATTAATAATTTTATTATCAACATTTAGAAAAATATTTCTTAATTTTTTACATCTTATTTGCGCAATTTTTTAAATCACTTAATACTCACTTAATTTTAGTTAATTAATCTAGCTTACTGTGTGAATAAATTATTACAAATACTTATTTTATAATTTATTTAAATTATGCTAATCTGATTATTATAAATGAGTAATTTATATGTTTTTCAATACACTGAAACAAATTTTTCTTGAAACTTAAATCTATATACGATCACATCTAAGCCATAAAATAAACTTAATACTAAAATTGTTCGCTAATAGTTTAAACATTAATGGTTTTAATAAATTATGAATTAATTTTTGTTAACAATGGTTGAGTTACAGCATTTATAATGACACCATTCACAGTTCCATTATTTGATCCGCCATTAAGTACAGGAGAATCTCTTCTGTCATTGTCAGAATTCGATGCATTTCTGCATAAAAGTTTATAGTTTTTTATATTATTCGTTTTGACAATATGATTGAAATTATTACTATTACATAGTTTATTAGCTGGGCTAATGTTTCTATATGGTTGGTTTTCCTCCAATAGATGCGCTTTGCTGCTGTTGGTATTGCAATTATCATTATTGGTATTGCAATTGTCATTTAATGTATGCAATTGTGTGCTTTCATCTTCGTGTTCATCATTAACATCTTCAACATCTTCGAAAGCATCCTCTCTTACACAAAATGTTATGCGATTTGCACTACTGAGACTGCAGTTATCATACTCTGCGCGTGCATTAGCCATGAGCGTTGAGATCGTCGGTGATTGTTTAAGTTTAACTCTACTCGAAGGATGCAATATTCCGCTTAGATTAGAATTCGAATTTTCGTGTCTAATAGTACTATAATTGTTGTTGTGGTTTTTTAAAGCTCCAGAGAGCGGTAGACGAAAATTTGCAAGTTCTGTGGAATCTTTAGTCGGTTCTCGCAGTGAACGACTACTGTAAATGTCTTCAGCGCCAGCGCTATCGCGTTTCCTACTTAGCGGATTATATCTTTCATTCTGAGACTGTTTTGCCGCATCTAAGTAATAATAGAAATCTTCAGTCTTGCAATCGTTACTATTAAGTTTTGGAGAGGAAGATGATATTTTACGTTTAACACGTAAATTTGGTGAATTTTTACATTCTATGGATTGTTGTTGTTGAATCAATGGTATTGTTGAGATCTCTGAATGCATTTTAGTTAATCCATAACGTGGTGGTTGTTTAAGTGATGAACGTCTGGATAGTAACATTTTATTGGGTGACAATGTTAAGTCTGGTTTTGTCATTTCACCTTCTAACCAATATGTTAACATTTCACCTTTACCTTTCATTGGTACAAAACCACGTTTCGTAGTAATAAACGTACCAAATTCATCAAGCGCCAATTTTGTTTTTTCGCTAATGTGTATTTTCAATGCCTCACCATTTGATTCCATTCGCGATGCAGTGTTTACAGTGTCACCGAATAGGCAATAACGTGGCATTTTTAAGCCAACCACACCAGCTACGCACGCACCTGTATGTAGACCAATTCTAAGTTTAAGTCTGTCATCGGGACGATGGTGAATTTTAAAATTATGCACAGCTTCCAATAGAGCTAGTGCTAATCGTGCTATCTCACGCGCATGTTGATTTCCATTTCGTATTGGTAAGCCTGATACAACCATATAAGCATCACCTATCGTTTCCACTTTGTACACATCGAAGTTCTCAACTATAGAATCGAAGCAGGTATAGAGATCATTTAGAAATTGTACAACTTGCATGGGTGTACTTTCCGCTGATATAGCTGTGAAACCAACGATATCACTGAAATATATTGTAACCTGGTCAAAGGTTTCAGCTACAACCGGCTGACCACTTATTAATTGGGCTGCCACACTCTGCGGCAAAAGTTGATAAAGTAGCTGTTCACATTTTTTCTTTTGCTCTAAATAATCCTGTGTGCGTTCCTCTACTAATTCTTCAAGATTATTTGCATATTGCTCCATACGTTTTAGCAAATTGTCTACGATATTACCAGTTTCATTATCCCTGCAAACATAAGGAAAAAAAATTGATGTATTACAATATCTGTTAAAGCTTGAGAAATGATTGTATATATATATTTCTACATATATAATGTAACTATAATATAATTAAATAGAGGGAGAAGATGCTCCAGCGAAAAAGATATTTGAAGCAGTAGTTGGAAAAAGAAGGCGTGGAGATTGGCTGTGTCTCCGGTGATGTGATTAAAATGAGGGAGCACTAAACGGATTCGATGTACGAAACTGAAGAAGGCGCGGTCGTAGCAGAGGTGTTTGGGGACATATAAGTAAGTAAGTAAGTAAGTAAGTAGGTAAGTAAGTAAGTAAGTAAATAAGTAAGTAAATAAGTAAGTAAATAAGTAAGTAAGTAAGTAAGTAATTAATAAATATAAATAATACATATAACAGATACTGAATGTCAAATCTAGAAGTTGTGAATATCAAATTTCTAATTTGCTACTATTACTTACAATAAAAAAAAAGATGTAAAATAATTATCTTTTGAAAACTAACTGCTATAAGTTAATGTAATAGTATATCCATTTTATAATTAATACGATAAAACTATTGTATTGTTCTAGGATAATAAATATTAGTAATAAATATCTTCTTGATGTACAGCTTTATTGAATTCCGGCATTGAATTTTTATAGATCATTCTTATTTAGTCAAATAGGTTTTAGTTGGCAAAGGAATTACTGACCAAGTAATATCGGACTATAAAATAATACTACAAAGGCATTTATATTTCTATAATTACATAGAAAAATGAACAATAACTATCTTTCTAGATATTTCTATATTTTTCTGTATATATGTCTACTAATATAAAAAACGTTTATACTTACTTGTTTATTTTTCTAACTATAGTTTTGAGTGCATTGAAGTCTGGTCTTTCAATGGGATCTTCTGACCAGCACTTTGTCATAATGCCATTAATATCTAAATAATTATCACATTCATCAATATAGGGACGAAATGGTTGTAAAGTCAGTATTGGATAGCCCTTAACTAATTCTACAATATCTGCAAGTAGAAAAAAATAATATAATTTTAATATAATACAGTTAAAACAGTTGAATGACTTCAAATATTAAAAGTATTCTATGAATATATAGATTTATAAGTACATTTAAATATAAGAAATTATAAAAAATATATATATTTTTATTCTTAAATAATAATGTAATAAAATAAAAGATAATTTTTAAAAGAACGTATAGGAACTGGAAATCAGGATTAAAATAATAACAAACTACTGATTTTCTGTTGTTGACACAATTGATACCAATCGTTTTGGATACTCGATTGAAGTCACCACTGTCAACTCCATTAAAATAATTTACGGTATAGTCGTATATAAAAAATAAGATTTTATTATGCGTAAAACAGTATCATAGAAGTACAGTATCACAAACATATATAAATACTAATCCGTGTGTCACACTATATAGATCGAAGTCAATGATGACTGAGATAGGTCTAAGTTTTTTGTACGAGACATAATTCACAATTCTTCCCTTTCAATGGCAAAAAGAACAATTCAATGGATGTCAATATAATAGATTTTTTTTTACTATAAAGAAACTTTTGCAGAGACTGGTTTATCAAAACTTCCGAACCAAGTTTTGAACGAATTTGTTCCGAGTCATAAAATATGTGTACTAGTACTATTTGCTTTTCCGTTGTTGTTTCATTCCAGCAGTCGGGGTGTGGGCAGTAGAAGACCATATTAAATGTTGCACCAGGCTGGAGCATAATTAAATTTGTAACAAATTTAATAACAACGACATTTTGTAATAAAAAAACGAAAATAATAATTTGAAAAAAATAAATTAAAACTAAGCAACTCCCTTCCAATGCCCGTAAACACTTCACACAAGTTTGTTTGTCGATAATGTGGGCTTTCTAGTCGCTTGTGGAGGATCTCATCCTTTTAACCATAATTACCTGTGTTGAATATTGTCATATGTGATTCATCTTTCATCGCCCATAATAAGTAGGTTCTAGATAGTTCGATTTTATTGCGTTAGAGCACTGTTTCACTGATCATAATTCGATCAATCAATTTTTTTTGAAATAACTCATGCGGTGGAAGGTCATCATGTAGTTTGCTCTGTTAAAATGATTTGAAATTGTTATGTTGTTAATGTTAAATGCTTCCACTATCTTCTGATAGTTTGCGTGTCAGTCTTGCTCCACCAGTTGCAAAATTTCATCGCCTTTCGTAGTGACTTATGTTTATTTGACATGATTATATATGGGTACCAACACTATCAAAATGCAAGAAACAGAGCTTTTTATTTTAGTAGCCCCAATTTTAATCCAAAGAAAATGTACATTTCTTTATTATTATAATATTGAAATTAATACACCAAAGACTAAATATCAAGTTGAAAACTACGCAACATACCAAAAAATTTATGAGTCAGTGAAGGTAACAGAAGTCGTAGGTAAGTTATCAGCTAACGAATGTAATAATTAAGTCAATTAAAAGAATATTATATTATATTATTACTGTAACTTTTATTAATATTACAGTCCCGAATATACGTACTTATCGGTACTTAGATAGGCCTGGAACAGGTTGTGATACCATTGAGGAATTTTCTTTAACTTCGCAATTTGTGTTATATCCATATTATGGCCCTTATTTATTAGTTTAAAGTTCTATTAGTTTTTACAAGCAATTACTATCAATATTTTAAACTATCAAAATATATATTTTAACAAATAACATGCCATGATTTAAACTCCATTACCAATATAAGAACTTCACAAAACATGTTTTAAAAAAATGTTTATAATTTTATAAACAAACAAAAACAAAGCGTTGAAATATATTTTTAATTAATTTCTATACTCCCCTAAAAATCTGATATTTAATATTAATTTTGAAAAAATGGCTCAAAAAGATCAAGATAGAGTTAAGCGTTTTCGGATAAATAATAAATATGTTTATCCTAAAGATTTGTATCCATCAGATATACACAATGAGGATGGTATTAAAAGTATTAAACAGAAGCGTGCAAAGTCTAAAAAGAGTGAATATGATAATAATTCCACAAATGAACATAAATATTTATCACCGCTCTGCTCAACTGAAGAACTGAGATCAAATCACTTATCAACAAGACGTAAAAGCTTATTCGATTCAAATAGTTTCCTTGACTTGAAGAATTTCGATCTTGGTGGCAGTCATTTTGATGCTGGGCCTTCCATTTACTTGAAGGCACAACGACAGAAACTCAAAAATCAAGAGCAAAGGGAACAACTGGAGAAATTGGAAGGGTATAATTTTCCACAGCAAAAAAAATTAAAATCGAAAAAGAGTTCGAAACAACTTAAATCAAGAAAGCATCAATATAGAAGATATGAGTATTCTTCCAGTGACTTGGAAGTACTTCTGTCACCTAAAGGGAGTGATGTTAGTTCGCAACAAACTTTCAGCGATATTCAAGAAAAGTTACGAAGTGAAGTCAGTTATAAACAAACCGCCACTGACGCATCTATGTTTGCGAAATTATTGAAATCCAAAGGATTTGATATTCCGCATACCTTACCATTGTTTGAGGTTTTGCCAATAGTGAAAGCCACTCCAAGCGCAGAATTAATTTATCAAAACTCGTACATTCTGGATGGCATCAGTTATGAGTACAGTTTGAAAAATAAAGTAGATGGCATTCGACCACAACTTAATTTGGACTACAAGAAGTTGAAGAAAAGCAGTAAGTTCGAATTTTATCAATAATTTTGAATATTCATTCCTTTTGTTGAATCATGAATTTGGTTTGTGGTGGTAGTTTATATCTTTGCCACTAACGTAGGCAACTTTTAAAACAAGAAATTTTAAAGAGAGTGTGTGCAGATATTTTGATAAAAGATATTAAATCACAGCAATAATATTTTATTATTATTTTTTATATTTACTTATTCGTAAATAGTTTTTTGAGGACGGAAGTATCAACGATTGAACCCGTGAAAAGTGTAATTTTTATAAAATTTACTGAATTTAACAAGAGGTTTTTCGGACAGTAGTGAACTACAACAACAAATATTCATTTTATATTATTTTAATTAATTGAATTTTTGGTTAACCATGCAGCTGTTTCGAGTATTGCCAAATACTGACCACCTATCATCAGTGGTCTTGAAAACACTTCTTGTATTTAATTATTCGTAAATAATTTTTTGAGACTGCAAGTACCAGGAATCGTATATATTTGAAAACTTACTTTGCATGGATTGCTTACTCCAAGTCTGTTTAAAGAGCTTTGCATTATGATGCTTATAGCCGTATCAGTGGCGCAAAGATATGAAGAATATATGTATATAATAATTAAAAATTATAATAGGGGTATTCAGGCAATATTTTTTTGTTAAAATCGATTGATTATGTTTGATAAGGAAATTTTTAAATTCAAATATTCACTTTTTAATCTAAAAGTTTACTTTCTTTAAAAAAGCTTTACTCTCTTTTCAATTCAAAGATAAATTTCCTGTCATAGTATAAAAAGTTTCTAATTAATTTTTTTTATTTATAGTGAATTTACAGACGAAACCGACTGATTGTGATATAATTTTTGGCAACGCAAGAATTATTTTATTAAAGAAACAAGACTTGGAACAATCCCGACTTGGTTGGCTCAGAAAATTGGAACTAAAGCAGAAATTACCAAGAAAGGAAATCCACAATTGGTACGACGATGAAGAAAATTTAATCGAAAACTGTTGTTTTCCATTTTTTAAAGATATTTTTAATTTGAATAGAAAGGAATGGAACTGAACAATATTTAGGACAATATTTAAATTTTTTTTTTAAAAGTTAAAAACGTCAATTATATTTTAATAAGACTTTTGTTAAACTTTAGTAATATTAAACATATATTAAAGAGTATTTTTTTGTTGTAAGAGATTCATAGTTTTGCAGGAAATTTTAAAACATAGTATATATTATTTAATTTTTATCTTTTAAATGACATTTTTTGACTAAATGACATTAAAGTTTTGTTTTTGTTTAGTTATGATTACCTTGTGGAGATTTTTCGTCTTCAGTCTCACCCAAATAAAACGGTCCTTGTCGTGTTGTAATCTCATGTACAATTATGCCAAAAGAGTACACATCTGCTTTTTGTGTGCCTTCCGGTGGACGATTGTTTTCCATTCTAAGTAATTCAGGTGCAGTCCATAATAATTCTGAAAGAAAAAAATAAACAAAATGATTATAAGAATTAGAACAAAACAATAACATTTTATTTTGGAAGATAATAATAATGTAAAGAATGTAATATAGAATTTCAACGTAAAAAAGAGGATATTACAAAGAGTATTTTATATAATAATCAAAAATACTTGATATTACATTTAAAATAAAAGGTATAAAAAATAACAAAATGTGTAATTTTGTTTTACAAAATAAATCTACAAACTACAAATGAATTGTAGATAAAATATAAATACAATTAAATTATTAAAATAAAATTATACAATTGAAACCACAAAAATAAATTCATTCGAATTCAAACCAAAATAGAAAATATTCTAACAAAAGAGTAAAATCAAAATAACAAAATAAAAAATATAAATTGAAATAATATAAATACCATATAAAATTATTTTTAAAAATTTAAAAATAACAATTATAAATTAAACAATTATAAGAAATAATAAAAAAGCATATAAAGGAAATAGGAACAACAAACAGAAAATAATTAAAAAAATAAAAAATAATAAATATAAAAATATATATAATAAATAATAATAAAAAATAAATAACTTAATATATATTAAGTAGTATATGAATACTATCAAAGATAAAAATAATATCAAAGATAATTAAATAAAAAATTAAATATATTAAATTATATGTATTTGTTAAGTTGGTAATGGCGTTTAGGGTGTTCGGGTTACGCTAAGGCTCCTATGCACTGCGACCAGTTTGATCTATTGTGCACCCTTTTGTATTTAGATATTTAGTAACTCGAGGAATCAAACCGAATCCTTCGGGGGGAGTTTTCGAAGGTCTTCGAAAACACACTTGGTGATCAGATGTTCCATAGACTCTTCCTCACCACACCATTTGTTAAGTTAAAAAGGAATAATTTAAAATTAAATGTAGAAAATAAAATATAACAATAAATAAAATCAAAAATAAAATAAAATTAATATGTGAAATTATATAATAACAAAAATGAATATGAAAATAAATGAAAAATGTTAAAAATAAAATGTGATAATAAAATTTAATATAAATATATATTTATTTATAAGTTAGAAAATATGTTTAAAATAAGATTTAAAATTGTTGTTTTCTTTTACTGGTTTTGGTTTTGTATTCGAAATATATTTTGATGTATATGTGGGATTTTATTAAATTGAAATTTAGTTTATTCATTTTTTTAAATTTAAACTAAGTTTATAATGGATATTTGATAAAACTGTTCCGCATCACTTGACCGTTCTTGCTGAGCACTACAAAGCGACTAACTCTTTTTGTAGTCGCGGCAAAAGAATTATGTTGCTCTGCTCTCTTGTGTTGGTACACGGTTATGCTGCATAAACATACCCTACATATATAATAAATATTACATAAAAAATGAAAATTTAAACTTAAATTTAAAAATTTATTAAAAATTAAATTAACCGAAAAGGGTGAAGTAAATAATGTTAATATATATTACAAAAAAGAAACACATTAAGATTAAAAATATTATATTTTTTAATAATAATAATAACAATTAATAATAAAAAAAGTCAAAAAATATACATATTAGGATTTAAAAATAAAATAATAAAAGAAGAAAATTATAAAAAAATAAATTTTAAAAATTTTAATTAAATTTTTAATAAATAAAAAATAAATTGAACAAATTAAAAATTATATAAAGAATTACATAGAATAGAATATTTATAGAATATATATGTATGTTTATAGAATATATAAGTAGAAACATGAAAAAAAAATTATAACGCAATAAATAATTATAAATAAACATATCATTAATGAGTTGCAAAAAATATGAACTTTTAAATAAAATGAGAGAATATAGCTAAGGAAAAGGAAAATAGTACTTGTACAGTACGGAAAATTACTTGGAAAATAAAAGGGCTATAACAATGAGAGTAACAACGACATATATATAAGCAATATAAAT